ATAACATAATTTTATACCAAACAACAATTTTGTTCAATGATACTTTGTATTGTTACGTTATACTAAATCATAATATGAACAAAATAATATAAGTGCTCGAAATAATTTATTTCAACGAAATAATGTTTCATTAGGTTTTTTTCTTCATTAAATAAACCATTATTTAATGAAAAAATCAATTTTTAANATAAATGTAACAGACTATATTTGATTTAAATATAGTATTATTTGAGATACAGTGTTAAAATTTGGTTGCGTTTTAAAAATGTACTTTAAATCATATTTAATAGTAATAAGAGAAATAAATATTTTTACTCATTGCAGGTACATTGCACTACAATATTTTTAATAAAATAATATTTTGAAGAAATAATAAATGAACTGTGTAAGATAGCGTGAGAATAAGTAGATAAAAATAATCATTTTAGTAAGGAACAAGTAGTCTTGCGGACTGAGTCCAGGTGTTTGCGAATACGACGGAGGCGTCTCGAATTCGAATCCCGCTATCATCTTAGGATTTTGTCAGGTCCGGTCCCTTTTAATGGAATTTATCAGTTGATTGGCGAGCTGAACCGGGCTTCCAAAAATTAATTCAAGTGAAATCTCTTAGCCGTGTAAAAGCGCGAGTCGCGAAAAATTCTTTTATTGAATTTTTAGATGTATTTAACTTAATAAACTATTTTGTTTTGTCTTACGCTTAACGTAAACACTATGCAAATTTTTAGAAACGATTTATACAAACGCCTTTCAAACGCTGTAGCGTTGCAATTTCCGCCCTATGAATTCTCTACTGACCGAATGCAATAAATATAAGATCTTATACAGAAAAGCAATAAAATTATTTGTAAAAAATAATATAAAATCTGTCAAATAAATATATAATAAAGTTTAACAGATCTCGATTGTTTATGTTTAAAAAACGTCTAGAGAACGATAGAATGTCCTTTGAAAAATCAACATCTAATATAGATAATAGACAAAGTAGATATCCTCTAGATCAGCGCTCGGCAACTGGCGGCCCAGTAGCCACGCTTGGCTATTGCGTTTATTCCACTTCTTTCATTCGTAGCGGAGAGGCTTCCCTCACTCTCGCTTAAAGCGCTGGCGGGGCGCCGTCCGCCGTAGGAGGCTAGTGGTGGTAATGTCGATCCGTGTAGCTACGTTTCGATCGTCTTTGTCAATATTGCTCGAGACATAACGTGATACAGTTCTGTCTACGCATTGCTATACGGCAGCTATCACATAGCTTTGAACTTTTCAGTATGCAGCGGCAAAAAATCGATAAAGAAAATAGACAATTCCAAGATAATTGGAAATATAAATATTTATTTATACCTGGATGAATTTATACCTGGATGAATTTCACAATCGTTTTACAGAATTCGACGCGATGAAAAGTGATTTACATCTTTTTAATAATCGCTGTAAAAATAGAAGATCAGCCGGAACATGTACAATTGGAATTCTGCGATTTGCAAAACGATGTTCTTCTGCAATCTCGAAAGGAAACAGGTGTTGCATTTTATAGACTTTTGGATAAAAATTTATATCCAAATATAAGAAAATTTGCGTTAAAGATTCATTCCATGTTTGCTAGTACTTACTTATGCGAAAAAAACATTTTCCGCGATGAAAAATATAAAAAACAGCAATCGATCTTCAATGACTGACGAGACATTGTCAAACTTATTACGCTTAACTACAACAAAATTTTCTGTTGATATTTCACAACTTGTTGATGCAAGTGTTCAAACGCAAACATCTCATTAAGAAATTTATAATATTTTCCTACAACAGAAACAAAGTTAACGATAGTACACGATGTCACGCACATACTTATAAATTTGCAATTTATTAAAAGATATAAAATATTACTGTCTAGATATAACATTACAAATATAACTTACTAACATATTTACGTCATTTACGTATTACACGCGTAAAATGCTATTTGTGACAATTTCTCATTCATATAACCCACTTGTATTATTTTATTTATTTACTGAAAGGCTCACGTTTGATGACGGCACACCGATACTGGCGTTATTGATACATACACACTACACACAAATGAGACGGAGCGGAGCGTACGTATGTATGTAGTAGAGTGGTAGGGTCGCGGTCAGAGTGGTGGGGATGTCGGAAAAATTGCAGCGTTGGCTATTCGGCTCGCTTGAGTTGCGAAGCGCTGCTCTAGACATCCAGTGGTTATCAAGAAGACATTTATATTTTTTATACTACATAAAACTTCTAAATTACATTAAATTTTCTATATAATTGAAAGTATTTATGTATGCATAGTAAATTTTCATAAAATACATTTATAATATCTTAAAATGTCCTGTAAATGTCCTGAGCCGTTTTGGATATTGTTAGGATAATCTTAAGGACGTCTTGTGCTATATATATATGGGAACATCGACTTCTATTATCTGATCATTCATATTATTTTCGATATCTTTGTACTATTTTCAATATTATTTTTTGTCATTTTTTGTTCTTGTCTAGATGTTAAATAAATGAAATGTATGTTTTCTCTATATATGTTGCTTCAAATTTTTTGTATTTCCAGCATGTTGGATTGATTTATTACATATGTTGCAAGTAGCAAATAAACCTTTTTTTGTGTAATAGTCCCACACAATACAATTTTTTTTATTTTATTCTTATTTTCACTCATTTTTTTCTACAACACATGTTATAAATCATGTGTTTGAATATATATATATGTGTGTGTGTGTGTGTGTGTAAACATCAAATACTGTATTAAATAATAAATAAGAAAAACATACCTGATTTAAATCTATAAACTTTCGTTGCAAAGATGAATTGTGTTACTATTGACTACATGAAGAGTTATGTTTCTTTTATAGATAATATACGAAAATATCAAACTGTTACTTTTACTTAGAGTATTGATACTGATTAAAAAACTACTAATTTATTTTAAGTGTAAACTAAAAATACAATATTTCGAAAGTTCTAAGAATTTCCCTTACGGAAAAAACCCCACATAGCACGTAATATTACTGCAATATCACAGTAAAATTTCAATATATCAGTAAATATTAGATATTATAATATAATATTACAGTAATATATATTATCGACATATTACATTTACATATAATAATGAAATATTACGGTAATATTGTATTGTATTTTAAGTAGCAATATTATATAAATCAAATGTTTTTTATTATGTCTTCTAAACGTTAGAGATGTTATTTAACGTGATTTACTGTTTGGCACGTTGCATACATTGGACTATGAATAAAATATTTTAAAACTAATAAATTTTTGTATGATATGTCGAATATCTTTTTCAGTAATATTAGGAATTGGAATTAATTCGTAGCGTTTTTTTAATGAAAAAAATTATTTATTTTAAATGAAAATAAAAAAATACATTAATTAAAGTATTGCCCATCGCTTTCTACTACTTTTGACCATCTTTCGGGCAGGGAACGAATATCGTGTCGGAAGAACGCTTCGTCTTTAGATGCAATCCACGAATCGACCTATTTTTGACAATCTTCGTAAGAAGTGAACTTCTGCTCAGACAGGCTATGAGTCATCGAAACAAATGGTAATCAGAAGGAGCAACATCTGGAGAATACGGCGGGTGGGACTTCCCATTTAAGTATTTCCAGGTATGTTTGTACCGGTTTTGCGACGTGCGGACGAGCATTGTCGTGCAGCAAAAATGACTTTGTCGTGTCTTTTGGAGTATTCCGGCCGTTTTTCTTTCAATGCACGACTCAAGCGCATTAATTGTAGTCGGTAGCGATTCCCAGTTATGGTTTCATTCGGTTTCAGCAGTTCATAATAAATCACACCCCTCTGATCCCACCAAATAGAGAGCAGGAGTATTATATAATACCCATGGATATTCGGCTTTGCAATTGATGTTGATAATTGGCCGGGCTTAACCCATGATTTTCTGCGCTTCGGATTGTCGTAATGGATCTATTTTTCATCACCGGTGACAATTCGATGCAAAAACCTTTTCTTTTCTCCCGTTGAAGCAGCAGTTCACACGTCAAAAAACGCCTCCCCGCAAAAACACTTTATTCGGCGCAAATGTTGACATATTCAATAAATTATAAAGTGTTGTTATTTACGATTCAAAAAAAAGGTTATGTAAAGCAAATGACGTCCAATGACAGCTGTTTCACGATGAATATATTACTGTAGGTAACAACGAAATACTGTACTATTACGCCATATCTTGTAAAACGCTACGAATTAATTCCAACACCTAATATTACTCAAACGTATGTATCACTCTGCATTGTACTGTTTGAATAATTATTAATGAAAAATATATCCGTAACATTTATAAAATTATATATAGACATATATGTACATGTATATGTATATATGTATGTACAGTGCGGAGCACCATATATCGTGCGCCGTGAGGAGAAGTAGTTCTCCTCCGGCTGCCTCCTACTAGCACGCGCCAGCGGCCCGAGATTTAATCCATATGTACCGGCACGGTTACCGATGACACATACCGACGCGGTTACCAATAATACCGACAGCCAT